TTACAATGAATCCATATCCAGAGGCTAGATGAACAAATGTGGTCAAATTTTCAAAGTGTGCGGGGTTTGCGCCAGGATGGGCGGTGCTAGAATCAATTGTTCAAGAATGTTCTGAATTGTTTTAGAACGCGATCAAAAAGGGTTGGAGTTTGTAGAAAAAGTCCTCGAACGGTACCCAAAGGCTGTTTGTATATAAACCACAAATGATAGCACGTCTGTCGGTCTCTTTGCCTCTTGATGTGTTTAACACCACCTTATACGGTGTTTGTTAAAGTGGAGCGGACTATTCATATTGAAACAAGTGGGGAATGAGTAGAGGTACTCAGGAACACATGGTCTGAGCTAGGCTTCGACCGCGGACGGTGTGGCGTGCAATAAGAGTTTTGCTTCTAATCCTTCTGGTGTACATAACTTCTGTTCCCGCGTACCTTAACCGTTCAATTTTGGTGGGAGTACAGATGGTAGGATGGGAATTCTGAGAATAGGTGGCAAACTAGATCTCCCCGAAAGGGAAGGCGTGTACGAAAATTGTCACGTTGGACATAGATTACACAGATTTGCTAGGTGTACAGTCGTACACGAAAATCGCTTTGAAGTTCAAATTTCGAAGGAATACAAACGGCATGATGCGATTAGCGATTACTAATATCGGGAACCAGGTGTAGATTCCGCCTACTGTGGGCTCGGCATGCGCGAAATTGTTCCTTTGAAGTTGGGGCGTCTATGTAAAGAGACTACAGGATTGTGGCTATCCTGGCTGTAATAGCTGTAAACCAAGCGATCGATAATGGTAGTTGATATTGACCACTCTCGATTTGTACTACTCAATATGGAGCAACTACTCACTTTTTTTTGAGAAGATAAGCTAAGGAGCGATGATAGTCCTGGGTGTGTGTGACGGTGTTTGTGCTCTTTGACTGGGGAAACTCACAAATCCTCTTCCAGTGGATCTTGAGCGTTCATTTTCGGTGGGAGTACAGGCAGTAGGATGGAAACACTGATGACAGGTGGCAAACTGGACTCCCTTCAAGGGGAGAGGCGTGGAGTAATGTGAACCTAGATCGTCCAGATTCGATATGTGTACAGAGGGCAGTAGGGGAATACTGATGGCAGGGGACACGACGGGAAATTGAAGAAGAGAAAAAGAACAAGGTTACTTAAAGTCAGTCAGGTGTGTGTTTGGCCGGGACTCTATAATTCTAGTTCTCCTGCACCGAAGCGTTTGAACTTGGGAGGGTGCGGGCAGCAGGCTAACTTTACACGGAAAGGTGGACTCTATGTAGCATGGAGAGATCATTTATCGAATACATAGCAGCCGGATCGCCCGGCTAACGCCCTGGTATGTATATTTGATAAACGATCTCTCCATGCTACTTACAGTAGCGCTCAAAAGTCTTTGGCCAAATGTCTCTAGCCGCACTTCTCACAATCAGTCGTAACTCCTTCCCTACTGGATGTTGCGAAATTTCGATATGTGTAGCGTGGGTTATTGTGAATATTTACCGCTATTAACCTGCAATCCGATCATGTTCTAGATATCCTAAAAAGCCTGAACTCAAAATCAAGTGGAAACACAGATTATGCTCCTTCTAATATTGTTTTCCTTTTTGCCGAGTCTAAAGTGTACGAGGGCTAATGTCGAAAACAGTAGAGGAGCAAAACGCACTTAAGGTGCGAATAACTGAAAACGCCACTAACTTTGCCTTTGGCGGAATCTGCTACCGCAACAAACAATTTCGGATATTGCTGCTTTTCAGTGAAATAGTGTTGGATAAAGGGAAATATGCTTTAGTTCAACATATTGAAATTTTGCGCGATTTGCTGCACTAAGAAAAAAGTTATGAACGAAAAAACGTAAGAGCATTCGGCAGAAGACTTTTGAGCGCTACTGTATATGTACAGAGAATGCCGAGACATATAGTATCGTTTGCTCCGATTGACCATGCGACAGTATTGGTGCTCTGGAATCCGGGCAGCTTGTGACCGTGAAGGTTAGGCCGTAACTAGTTGACCATTGCCGAATCACTGTCTTCAATCCATCACGATGGGAATTTTTGAATGGGGATGTCAAGGTTTGTGTCTGTGTGGAAGTTCGAACTCATGCTAATCAGTCTCACTCGTTCAGAAATGAAAACAACAAGTCATTCGGATTAGGTTTAGCTGATCTAAACATTTTGGATGACGTTTAGAATATGTATATTCGAACTTCTTCTGGGGCATCTTCCAGGAAAACACCAGTTGCCGATTTTTCAAGCTGATTTGCAACCCATAATTTCTCCATAATATAAAGTAGTAATTTTTTGAAACCAGTTGGCGTGTACTGCTTCGCTCCCCACATCACATAATGTATGCACTGAACATTGTTGACGGTAGTGACCAGTACTCAATGTCCTTCCTATCACCTCAAAAACTTCGAATGGAAGTTTATAGCATTGCCTCTTATGAATGAATCATGCTTATACATGAGCGATAGGTGATGGCTTCTATGAAATAAGCAGGCCACCATTTTGTTTTCAGCCGCTGTGATTGCCGGATCCATAGCCAAATTCTTTGATTTCCCCATTGTCTTATGGGCAGCGGTGTTCTCGTCGAGATTATTGGATTCTTCACAATATCCAACGATGATGGCACCAACATGGAGTTCAATCAAGTCAGTTGTAATATGAACTGAATAGAATCAAGATATCATCATAGATATAGGAAGATTAGCATGTCACCGATAAAATCGTCACCGGCTCAGTCTTCAGTAATTGGAAATTAGACCAACTAATAAAGTTGCAATCCTAATAAGCAGCAGTTCCACTTCCACGAAAAGCTTCATGAAAAACAGGGTGATGAGCACTACAAGGCGTCCGCCCCATTGATAGGTTGTGCGACTCGTGCATCCTTACCACTACCAAAGGTGACGCACTGGAAAAAGGCAAAAGCCCAATGAATACAGTGATGTACACAGTCTTTTTGTCCATGCTTGGACATGCTTGAATTTCAGTGCCTTATTCGAATATCCTTGAATGTTTTTGTAGCCCCGATACTGTCCTCGCTGCTAGACTCGTCCTTTTACGTCTAAGTCACAACTACCATGGTTCTGCCACATATTATATGTATTATACTTTTTCCAATATAGCAGGCATCACATGCCAAACACTGGAGCGAGCAAACCACAGTCTCATGCGGATAAATGCGGTGCCTCCAACTTTCAGATACGAGCAGATCTTCCAGTTTTCTATGATGCTACTCTGATCACAGACGATTTCTGAATAGGTGGTATTTGTTGCTTTCTCTTCGTGTGTCAGTCAAGGCGATATCATTGGTTCGATTCTCTCTTCTCAAAAGATGCTCTATGACTGCTCCGAATCGATCAGATGTAAACGATTTGTGGAGATAGAGCTTATCTAAACTTCTGCGAGGAGTGTCCTCGGTTTGCTTCATGATTCGTGCTTCCACAACGTGTTTCCGTTGAGGTTGACTTGTTCAAAACCACATCAAGTCACACCTCGACAGCCATTTATACATCTCTCGTAATATTGCACGTTTGATAGCTCTGAGGCGAGCCGAATGTGGAAGTAATGATATTTTCAGAGCCTCGTTTTCTGTACCATTTTACATGTACATGCTCTTCTCACGATAAAGCAGTGAAGATGAGTGATAGTCACCACCACCGCCGATGTTTGCTGGACTACTACAACTTGGGCATCTCCAGACGTCAGGCCACGACCAGGATGCGTCAGCAGTTTGGTGATAACACCCCTCCTAAGTACTGGATGTCAATATGGTGGACTCGCCTCACCAATAGAAACTATGGCATCGAAGATATGCCGAGGTGTGGTCAAAATCACACAGGTGCCCCGTTCCACCATCCACAAAGTCTTTATTAAATCTAGCAAGACGTCGAAGAAGCGTCGAGTTGTCCCTCACGAACTCACGTCGGCACAGGCAAGGACTCCCTTATTTGCCAAGATGAGAAGTGGTTCTACTACTCTAATCCTGCCAACAAACCAGTCTGGGTGGATTTCGATGCGCCCCCGCCAAGCCGTGCAAAGAGAAATATGCATGGAAAGAAGCGCCTTCTGTCATTCTGGTTTTCTCGTCCTACCCAACAATGCCACAGTGACGGCAGAGACCCTCTCTAAAGAATTGCAGATGGTCAGGGTGAAAGCTGCCGCTTTCCCAGGAACTTGCAAATCCATGGTTGCTCTGCGACAACGCGCGCCCTTACAAAGCGAGAGATACTCAGGCCGTCCTGGACAGGCTGGGCATCAAGACGGTCACGCATCCACCTTATAGTTCGGACATCAGTCCATGCGATTACCACATCTTCCGGTCCATGCGGAATTTCTTGGACGGAAAACAGCTGAAGATTGAGCGCGACTTCGAGGACGTGATCGAGGACTGGGCCGAGTCGCGGCCAGCCTTTTGGTAGGATGGAGTTGCCTCTCTACCCGATCGTTGGCGAAAGGTGGTGGGTCTGCATGGAGATTGAATCACGGACTAATAAGATCAACTTGGTGAGTTATCTTTACAAGCTCTGAAAAACGAATGGCCAACGAACTTTATGGACACCGGGTATGATTTACTGGCTGGCTTTATGTAGTGCGATTGGTTGCTAAAAATGTTGGATAGCTCATCCAATTTGGTTTAATTCAAAGTCATAGCATAAGCGGGTCAATGTTGTCGTTGTTACACCATATTGCTGGCCAGCTGGTGCCAGCTAGAGTCAGAAGTTCAATTTTATGGCAGAGAGTGGCAACGGTGCTGGAAGTTGTTTCATCCCTCTTTGCGGAAAACGTATCTCGTCAATCGAACTGCACTTGTCGCTTCAAGCCTTTTTAACAACTTTATGCAGGGCTTTAAGGTTATTAAAGTTGATGTAGAGTGTGTGCACGTTTAATGACTCGACAACACAGTTGCCTTGAATACTGCAGAACTAAAGCGATCCATGCCGTGATGAATCGTTGTTTAAAGGCACAGTTCATAGTAATTTTGAATGACCCGTATTTATTCGAAAAGCGGAACTATAGCTTGGGATCAGCCTATTGGGATTGGGTAGTGGACAAAGCAAGAAACTTCTCCGGTTTTAAGTGATGAAAATAATCTACAAGGAGTGTTTTTACGGTATTTCAATTAATTCAATTTTGCAAAGAGCTGACTATATCAAGCCAGAACTGCATCAAACTGCCTTCCACTGTCGCTATTGGTCATAGCAACTTGTTTGGACTTGTTACATGGGTTCCCTTGTGCTCGGTGCATCCTCTACAATGCCGGTGAAACTCGCCCGAGGGTGTATACGATACGATCTTCGAGCCTTTCTAACGCTCTAACTAGGCCGTTTTCCGACCTGATAGCGCCAGATATAAAATAGGGTCTTAAATTCATCATACAAGGGAATAAAGAAGCCATTTCTATCGTGAGCTGTGCCGTTAACGATCTGAATAATTAAAAGCAGTATTTCAGACTTACTTAGGAAGTTTTGTGAGAAGGCTGGTTGCCCTGCTGCATACTCACATGATAGTAATCAATAAAACATACAGTGTGAAGTTGCATAGAGAAGGAAGCTTCAAGATCATCATTATATCAGCAAATACCTAAAGTGTCAAACGGGCAGTATTACAAAATTTTTACAAAACGGATGGAGAAGTGCGCGCCGGTAACAGTGACAAGATCGCCACATCTAGCAGTCAACCTCGACGGATACATATTGCGGCAGCATGACAAATGAAGCAGATCAAGTTCTCACAATGCAGGGCTAAAGTAAATTATACTCCAGTCACTATTTATACGAGATCAAGTCAGCGCAATTGAAGTGGATTTTTGAGAAGAGTAGATCCTGCCAACGACTTCTTTCTGACTAGTTCACACAGAGACAGCACAAACACTAGTTGATTAGAAATCATAACTACGACTGGATTCGCATCATACGTAACTGCGTGATTTGTTTGTAAGGAGAAGTCGGAGACTGTGCGCTTAGAGCTGTGGTCTACCAGCTTCGGTGTTCGCGATGGTCTTTGCTCTTACATTTCCGAATTTGAGCAATCTGTGCCAGTGGAATCGTGTGACTGGCTTGTTGGGATTCCAGCTTTGCTGGGAACTCGTTGGTCTGAGTTGCAACAAGTTAATTATTTTGCGTCATGGATCGAGCATGAGCTTTCAAAAGTTCCGAGACGGCTTAAGATCTTTGAGGAGGTCGAAGTTATGAAAAATGAACCTTCCAGCACGAGAAGCCGGTTCCACACGAAACTATTGAAGGTTTATAAAACAATTTTCAGAGAGGAGAAAATAGAACAAACAGGTGGAGTTAAATCCTTCTATAAATGACGTAACCTCCACCTAGTCGGGAGGAATGGGTTTCCCAACGAGTTCCTGTTTTTTAGAATTGCCTTCGCGTTAGAGTTTAAGCCATACGACTTTTTTAAATCATCTCCTTCTTTGTAGAGCCGTTAGTTTCCTTTCGATTGATCTTCAACATGGCATGAAGACAGAGCAACTTGTAGGGAAAACTTTGAGTTGAAAAAAGACATTACTGATGCCACAGTCCAGAGGTGATGGATGGTGACAGTCCAGCTTCTGTGGTTTAAAGCGCTAAGAATAGCGGCATCGACCCATTCAATGGTGTAGGCTAAAAGTGCTGCTGGTAGTCTGTATAATGTAAGTCATTATCGTTCTCCTTATTCTAAATTGTCAATTTTTTCTGCGGTGTGTAATTTTTTGAAAGAAAATGGGGACAAAGCTGAAGACTAAGAAAAAGAGTTCGATGAGCACACTTTGACAACAAGCATTACCAAATTCAAATAGGCGTAATTTTGCCAGATTTCAGCCAGGCACGGACTCTGATACGTCTTTTCGAACGCTACCATTGGAAGGAGGTAGCTGTAGTTTACTATTCGGCAAGAAGTGATGTTATACCTCGTTGCTCTTTAATTGTGGACGATCTCGAAGTAAGAGCTTTCTGTTAGTGGCATGAAGTAAAATAAGTCAGCTATCCTTACAATTAACCTTTTGACGACCATGGCACCCGCCTTTGGGTGCTACTATGACTGGCGCACGGGACCATGGCACCCAATGTTGGGTGCCACCATGCGCATTTCAAATGCGCAACATTAGTTGCGCATTTGAAACTTATTTAATATTCTCATATTTATTAACAAACTTTACGGTATTTATATCCACGGTCCACGTGAATGTTCTATAGGAGCTCATTTATTATTAACATATATAGTCAATGGAATAATACTGAGAAGGTTCAGATACTTTGGCAAGATATGTGTGTGTCCTGGGAGGCTTGAAGGCAGTAATTAGAATAACTGATTTGCAATTATGTTATCGCGCGGTCAATCTCTTCATCCTCAGCCTCCTTTGGTGTTATGCGAATCCCTACTGCTTACACTATTACCAAAATTCTAATCTACATGCTTCCAAACCCGAAGTGCAATTCCATGCCTCAGTTTTATATAAGATAAAATAAGATTTGATGCCTCTGTTACGCGGAGGTACTACTAAGTTTATTAAGCCAGAGAAAGGGGTCCCTCCCGGGACCATGGCACCCACCGGTGTGTGCCAGTCGCGCACGAAAGGAAGGGGGCGTAGTCCCATAGGCGCGTCACGTCGAAATCGGCATTGTCGTCAAAGGGTTGATGCGATGAGCGGATGTAGTGTAGTAGGCGCACTATCTCACACGCATGGTTACGGGTTCGAATTTTGGATCGATATCCGCCTGGGTCAACTAAGCCTTGCATCCATTCGGGGTCAGTTGTTGGTACCAGACTTGTCTGGGAGGATAAAACCACTAAATTTTACATCTGCGCAAGTCACTATATAGACCAAATAAGCATTATTAATACCACTACGGTTTCGTATGGAAGTCGATTACGGGTGCGCAACCCTCAGAGGTATCGATTATAACCAAAAACCTCATCCTTTTACTTTATCTTTGGAGGGGAATAAAGGTTATCCTAAAGCCATGGGCGCGTATCTGCTGTAGTGCAGGAAAGACTTTGAGCTCAGAATAACAATGGATTCTATATGCACATTTTCTTACATAATGCACAATGGCAAGCTGCAATCACATCAAGAAAAGCCCGCCATTAGCATGGATAAAGGTCCGAAATCCGCTCTTGAATACCTTGCATGTATCACGCAGGTAGCCCTTCTTCATTTTTTTCTGGCCGTTTTTGTGTCTTGCTTTCATGACTCCAAACTGGTATAGCAAACCCGATATGTTTCTTTCAAACCAGGGACCATACGGAGGAGTCAAGAGAGTTGAAATTTGTAGAGCAGCATGGCCGATCCTCTTTGCTGATGAGGTCGGGAGGCTGAAGATGCACATCTCTTGGTGAAACTTGACTCAGCGTGCTGGAACACCGTCTTGTTGGGTTGCTACTATAGAAGATTTCTTGTGAGAAATTGTACTTTTGATTTTTCTATGGGGAACCTATTGGTTTTAACCCCGGAGGAATAGCTTTATCATAAAAACTTTCATGTCAAACAAAACGATGGAGGGACCGGGTGAGTTAGAGATTTCTGAATTCGTCGGCCCCACAATGTCTACTGAGGGTGGAAATGAAATAGCATTCCTGTATACGACAGGAAGAACAACGAAGCTTCCGTCTGAATCCGCATCACCGATCACCTCGATGGGTTCCGCTCCGTTGCCGTTTTCTTGATGGGTTGCCCAAGTTTACAACCGACGCCCAATTGCCTTTGATTGTATCTGCACCTCTTTACCACTCGATAACCTTCCGTCGAGTCATTATGGAATCACAAGGAATGGCACACCGCCGTTCCCCCTTTTACATGCGAATGGTGGCAAGTAACATTATATCAGCCTCTACCATCTCGAAAATACAAGGAATATTTTCTTGGTAACTGTGAAGATTGCAAGAGAATCTACTTTTGCAGCAACCATTAAATAAAAGTAAAGGGAAGTCATTAGATCATTATTCCCTAAGAATTCCTCAATATTGGCACCCATGATTTAGGGACACCCTGTAGCGACATATGTCGTCGGTAACGACTTCAACATTTCTTCAGCTTCTGAAGGTTGCACTAGTATCCTTCGTACTGTNGAAATGCACCTTTCGAAATCATGTTGATCGGTGCTCGCATTCAGGCTCTTATGAATGACAACCCAAACATGACAATGACATATCGACGTCAGATTTCTAATTTTACCAACGCTACATTCAAAAACGTGTTGCAAGCGATCAGAGAGGTGTCAAGAAGTAAGTTTCACTGCAAGACAACAAACATTTATGCATGTGTATTTGAAACCTTCACTATGCCCTGATGAACTTTAGCTGTCCAAAGAATAGAAGATTTTGACAAATGTCATAGCTAAGATTGGTTATTGTTAAGTTACCGTGATCTGTTTGGAGTCCCCAGAAGCTCGTCGAAGTCTGTTGATCGCTATAGCTGAAGAAAGCATGGACACAAAGGAGTACATGTGGTTGATGGTAGAGTCGCGCAGACTTGGATTTGGTGAGTTCCTACACGGAAAACAGGCTTTTTCTCTCGATCAAATGACGATTATGTGCTTCCCTTTTTGCTCTCATCCCTCGATAATTTTCTCTTATTTGGTTCTCCTGCTTTGAGAAGAAGCCTCAGGCAACCCTTATACACCTTCTTGACATTGATTTCCTCTTCCCACTGTTCAATCAGCAGGGGTTGATTCTTCAGCTATATATATACATCCACGTCCATTAAAATTACTGCTCTCTCTCACTTCCTTTCACCACCTTATTACAGGTGAAGCCTGGAAGGATACCAAAGCGGTACCAGATGGGAAAGACAGCTTGGCACTGCGAGCAGCACAGAAATTTCTCGTGGTACCTCTTTATCAGATGAGACTTTTATCATTTCTGCTGAAGGACCCTTCCTTTACTCTTATTCTGGTAACAGATCGACAGTGAACCATTGAATGCGTCGGCACAGTTCATTGACGATATCAAAGCAAAAATGAGGCAACCACCATATAATTGCCCTGACTGCGAGAGTATAGATCCGGTAAGTTCATGCGTAGATTCAAAGAGACACCATAGTTCGATTATTATAAAAGAATTTCCTGGATCTCTCTAAGAACTGAAAACTTGTAAATTCCAGGATCTTTCAATCAAATTCCTGCAAACAGACTAAAGGGATAGTTGCCAATGTCTATAATCACCTAGTCATTTTGCAGTATTCTCATTCAGAAATTTTCGTCTCAATTGCTAACGAACTGAACCAAGATAGTGCCTACCTAATGCAAGAGTAGTCTCTAACCCTGCACTGCATATAGAGTATTAGTTAGGTGATCATTCTATCAACGACATAGCTTTTTCAAAGTTGATGCTAACCTTTTCAAGCAGCTGCTATGCCTTCAGACGATATTGCCATATCTAATTATTTCTCGTTTTTTTTCTATTCATCTTACTGCCACAACCTCCAGGAAATAGATCTGAATGTGTTGAAAACTCATTTGAAGGATACCTGTCCTCACGAAAAAATGTTCAACGAAGTATATTACTTTGGTCTTGCACCATGTATACTACAGCTTCATTTGAAGCAATGCAGTTGAGGTATACTATTTATACTATTATTATAGGCAAACCCTTAAAAATAGTGGCATTTTCATCCTAACAAGACCATCAGACATAGAGCGTCGAACCCACAATATCGTCAAGTACGCACAACAATTTCTTTGACCTATCTAACTTCTTCGATAAAATGTCAGAATGTTTTTCGTTGTCTTCCATTCGTGGTGGGAAAGCGCAATGAAACTACTGAGCTTTTCATGGAAGAATGAATAGGAACTCCGTATCTAAATGACGTAGGCTTCCTCGTAGGCTCTCCAACGTAACTCGATGGTTCTTACCCAAAATTGGCAAAACTTCACAGGAACAAAAAAATTCGGGTTGGAAACCTGGTTCCTACAGTAATCCAAGTGTGAAGTGTAATTCAGTGGACGCAGGGCTTTAGTGCAATATAATGCCCTCGATGGCATCAATTTATTTGGGGTTGAAACACACATCCTAGTCCTGTCACATACACGACCCTCAGAAAGAAACTTGGACAAAGTTTTTTTTCTGAGGCTCGTGTTGGATAAAGGTGTGGGTGAGTGTGCAGTGGTTCGGTGGAGTAGCGGTGTTGCATCTCGAGCAGGCGTTTGAGCCAGGACACACAACTGAAGTACTGTAGGAACTTGTGTGGAATTCCCTCAAAAATTTTTGCCCTTTTCTGAAATTCGACTCCAGACAAGGTTTGTAGCGTGTTAAAGTTTACCTGGAATATCTATCTCACACACAAAAATCACTTGCCAGGTTTTCATCCAGAGAAACTGCAAAAAGTGTCACTCACAGAGATTTCTCACTCATTTTATAGAAGCTTCTAGTTCCTATTTGAGGTTCCAGT